GAGGCGGGGGTGAGGGTCTAGGAGAGCGTGCAGGTGCGTTGGCTGCGGGGTGCGGCTGACCACTAGGAAACGGGGCCGCCGAGTGGCGGAGGGTCACGACTCTAGCAAGGACTGTGGAACCGCGGGGCTCCGGTCGCGCCGTTGCTGTGGGGCCTGGTGGAAGGGTCACTGTCTTCCCAAGCCGCGGTGGAGGGGGTCACTGGTAGCCCCCCCCGCCCCAGCGCAGCAGGAGGGCGCTCCACGTACACTCCCGCCCGTCCGCGCCGGGACTCCGCGGTCTGAGGTGTCCTGCGCCTGTGAACTACCAGCGATAAGATGACTCCGGTTCCCATTGCCCTGCTCCACTTACTGCAGTGCCTCTCACCCCGGGCGATTAACTCTGTTAGACACAAACATCAATCCATAATATCAAATACCAAATATGACATAGAGTTGGCCACTAAGTCGAGTAGGCTGCCTCCCTCGGTAGTTCATGGCTGGTGTGTTTGAGACTATTGACTGCCCCTGGCCCATTCATACCACCTCCTAGTAACGCTTAATTCTTTGTAAGTGGTCTGGGTGATGATCCGTTTATGTCTTGATGTATGAGGTTAAGGTTACCATTATGTCACCTTTCATAATTACACATAGTCCCAGGTAGTTTATGGCTAGGTTAACAAAGATTGATTTAATATATCTTGAAAGTCAGATGTAGAAAAGGTGTAGATTTTATCTCTGTATTTGTCCTTGAATTGGTTTGCTGAGGTGGCTAGAGGGCTAAGGGCACAAAGCACCAGGCAACTTGGTCATATTTTCTTGCCTTCTTGGTGTTCATTGGAAATATTTGGTCTTACTGCCAAATTTAAAAAACAAAATCACCAATTTTGATCCTGTGAAATACATGTTCACTCATTCTGGCAACCTATTAGTTACTGATGGGCTTGGTGGTTTGGAACAAAGCACTTAGCATTCTTGGAACAGGTAATAGACCAGCCCCCTGGTTACATCAGTTGTATAGTGAAATCTCAAGGAAGGAATATCCAGTAACAGCGAAAACATTGCTGAACAAAACCTTAATGAAATATTGTTGTATGAGAAGAGCAACAAACAAAATTGTCCCAAACCGCATTCTTTACAAGTGTTTTCTTTTTGCCTCATATCATCTGGTAACTTGGTATTCTTCAAATACCTCCAATAAAATCATCTTTCTGCAAACCAGTATTGGTTTGGACTTACAAACTTGTGTTCAGTGTTTATCTGCCACCTCTAGCTGAGATGTTTCCTTGTTCTAGATTTAGTCTGTTCTTTTGAAAAAGGCTAAAGTTCAACGGAAGAAATGTTTAAATTATAAATAAAGTGCTGGAAAATGCAGATCTCCATAGGCCCAAGATTCTTCCATCTGAAAATGAAAAATATTTGTTCACATTTTGGGCTGGGGTTCCCAAATGTCTTTGTTGTTAATCTGTTCCACAGACATCATTGTGTTCACGAATCTCTCAACTACTTTGAGATGCCTCTCACTTGTAATGTTATTCTGGCATAATATTTTTTTCAAAAAACATGAAAACACTACACATGGGCCTCATTTCCTTTTCTTATTGTTTCTTTTGTTAATCCCTCCTGCATTCTATCCCAGAATTTGTGTACTCAGCTTTCACACTGCTAGTTGTAAATGGATCCGTATTGACTTTAGGCTTCTGTAAAAAAAAAAAAAAAAAATTCCTCATTGTCTAGAACAATTATAGTGTTTCAGTTAAGCTGCTTGGCCCTCTGCAGTTTAGATAACTAATTTTGCCAAAGAAATCACACATTTTAAAATGCTTGGTTTGCCCAATACAGTAGGGGGGGTCGCGGTACTGCTACCCTTACTTCTGCGCTGCTGCTGGTGGCGCCACTGCCTTCCCAGCTGGAGAGCAGTGGCTCCTGGCAGGGAGCCCAGCTCTGAAGGCAGAGCTACCACCAGCAGCAGCACAGAAGTTGATGGCATGGTATGGTTGTCATGGGTTCCCCCTGGGGTGCCACCTGGAACTGGTGTACCACTGAGCCCCCTGACCAACCAGTCTGGGCTCCCACTCACACTACTGCTGTGACAAGCTGCAAAACTTTCCAACTTGCACTTTCACCAGCATTCATACATGTAGGGGCATACCCAGCTAGGGTTACCATATTTCAGCAAGCAAAAAAGAGGACGGGAGGAGCCCCGCCCTAGCCCCGCCCCTGTCCTGCCCTAGCCCCGCCCATGCCCCACCCACTTCCCGCCTGCCTCAGAACCCCCAACCCTCCCCCCCCCCGCTCCTTGTCCCCTGACTGCCCTCTCCTGGGACCCCTGCCCCTAACTGCCCCCCAGGACTCCACGCCCTACCTAAGCCTCCCTGCCTCTTGTCCCCTGACTGCCCCCTCCTGAGACCTTCCCCACATCCTAACTGGCCCCCTAGGACCCTACCCCCTACCTGTCCCCTGACTGCCCCAACCCTTATCCACACCCCCACACCCAGACAGACCCCTGGGACTCCCATTCCCCATCCAACCATTCCCCACCCCGACAGCCGCCCCCAGAACTCCCGACCCATCTAAACCCCTCTGCTCCCTGTCCCATTGACTGCTCCGATCCCTCTCCCCACTCCTG